AAGGGCTTAAAGATACCGTGCCCCCATATACCTTTGCGCTTTTATCTGTCTATATATTTAAGCATACTGTTCACAGGGTGAGTTTGAAGTTTCCCTGGAATAAAATGGGTTTGAGTTTTTCTGTAGCCTGCCTCCAAGACCATAGCCTCCAATTAAGTCAACATCTCTGAAGCATCACAGACTGTCACACTGCCTGCCTGGAGGGTCAGACTTGCCCTTGTGCTGGGGATGATATTTTGTATTCATTTCTGTGGCTGTCTCCCAGCACATAATCTCTTTGTGTATCCAATACCCACAGTGCACCCACTGTGTGCAGCACCCAGAGGCAGCCTGCCATGTCCTTGCCCTCCAGGAATTGGGTGCCTTTTTGCTAGAGTGCTCACCTTGGATGATACTTGCGCCTGGCCTGACCTGATTAGTTTCCATTTAATGTTAACGTCTTCTGCTGATGGGACTCCAATAAGGGAAGGCCTGTTTTAGCTCTTGTCTATGGCTGTATCCTTTACATCAACGCCTGCAAAGCTTGGTTGAGAGAAGAGGGAGTGGATGAGTAAAAGATACATGGAGGGATCCTGATTCATACAGACCAAATTTGCAGAAGGAAGGGGTTGGTCATAACTTCATTGTACAGGTACTTCGTCTGGCAGCAAGAGAGGTGAACTAGTAAATAGCCAAGTGTGAGCATGAAGGCCCAGGGGCTTGCTGCAAAGATAAGGGGTGGTTAGAGCTATAAGAATGGAAAAATACCGGGGTGGGATGGAAAGTACCCTGGAGGAGGAGGTGTGTGCACTTGCAGGCTGTGTCTGTCCTGGAGAATGGGACACTGGCCAATGAGAAATGCTGCTTGTGTTACTTCTGGGTTGATTGGGTAACCTGTGGCTAACAGGCTGATAGCACACACTGTCTTGATTGGCTCCTGGTCTCCAAAGATGCAGTTGGAAGCAGAGTTTAGGAAACAGGGCCTAGGATTGAGAAACAAAGTGGGTAATTGTTTCCCCAGACACTCATGTCTGCTCAGGGCTCTTGCAGCAAGATTCAAGTTCCCTGGGGTTTCATCCATTCCTCTCCTGTCCATCTCCTACTTGTGGCTCAAACACAGCTTCCCCTTTGAAAGCTCTTCCCCACTGCCCCAGGGCTGGGGCATTCCCTCTAGCTTTACATGGTAACATGTGGATATTTCTGTGAATTGTTTTATACTTCCTGTCAGTCAGTTTGTAGTCAGGTGTTTATTTGTTTAATTACTTCACTGAAGTGGGCTGTCCTATCCCTCACCACTGTACCCTCTTTTCTTGTCTGCTTTTTAAAAATTTAATTTTGGCAGCTGGAGAAATGGCTCAGTGGTTAAGGGTACATATTGCTGTTGTAGAGGACCCAGTTCATTCCCAGCACCCATATCCAGTGGCTCCCAACTAACTGCAACTACAGCTCTGAGGGATCCAAGGCCTCTGGCCTCTGTGGGCACCCGCATTTGTGAACACATAATTCCCCATACACAACATGTACATACACACATAGTTAAAATAAAACCATCTTAAGTTTTTAATTACTGGTACAGAGTGACTTTTTAAATATTTACTAAATTGAATGTATAATTATGTGTTTAGGAGTGTCCTAAGTCTTTTTGTTGCTGTTCATCATTTTTTGTTTGTTTGTTTGTTTTTCTTGACAGAGGATCCTTGGACAGGCTACCAATGGATTCTCCATCCTCCTGCCTCAGCCCCCTGAATTCTAGGATCATAGGCACGTGCCACCACGCCCAGTAATCCTGTGACCTCTTAAGGAATTGTCACTTAGTTTTTTCTGTCCCCACTCAAGCAGGCATGTGGATGGAGGTGCTTGCAGAGGACAGCATCTGGGTCATCAAGGCAGCCCAAGTTCCCCTGAGTGCAGCCCATGGGGGCCAATACTAACTTAAAGTCACAGCTTGATGTGGCCAGTCCTTTTCCTGAAAGACTCTGCAGAAGTGGGTACAGGTCCCAGCTTGAACCTGCAATGTCCACAGTGTTCTTAAGGGGACCAAGGACCCATCCTATATAACTTGAGTTGGCTCCATGCCCTGAGCCCTCACTCTGTGCTGGGCCCTACTTGATGACCAGTGACCTTGTTCACAGGGATCCAGAGTCAAGCCACCCTCCCTAGGTTTTCTCAGGAGATGAAGCTCTACCCTTACAGGGCTCTCAGCTAAGAGGATCTGGTTGGCTGGGAAGCCCCTGGGCAAGGCAGAGTTGGGTCATCTCTGGAAACTACCAGTGGGACACCTTAGCAGGAGTTGGTTTCATCTGGAGTTTGCTGGCTTCCTGGGAGGCAGAACAGGCTGGAGAGTTTATGAAGTAAAGAGGCAGAAATTGATATGATCTCTATGGCAGCAAGAAACTTGATGGGTGTCCTGGAGTGCAAGGTCACTGTGGCAGAAGTGGCTGGGACAGGATGACTGGACAGAGCCATTGCTGAGTAGGAGCAAGCTGAACATTGCCTCTCTCTCTCTCTCTCTCTCTCTCTCTCTCTCTCTGTCTGTCTCTCTCTCTGTGTATGTGTGTTCATAAGTGTGCATGCACACATGTGCACCCAGGTACATTAGACCTTTGCTAATAAGGTTGTCTGGTGGGTGCTGACCAGCACAAGAGCCTTACCAGGCAGTAAGCCCCCATATCTGCTATTCTTGGTGACCTTACAGGAACGGTCCTCAAGGGGATGGGCTGTGATGGAAGAAGGGGAACAAGGATGACATCCTGTGGACACCTAGATTGTGGAAGGCCAGTGCCACTGCCAAAAGAGGGACATGGGTTTTATGCTGGGAATGTTGTTAAGAGGGAGCAGCTTCGACTTTAGGCCATACTCTTCAGGTCATTTAGGCTGTGGCCCAGCCTTGCTTTGAGACTGATGAGGAATCTGTGTTCTGGGCAGCTTGTAAGCCATTCCAAAAGGCCTTTCCTGCAGAACATATGGGGGTGTTCTAGGTCTGTTAGCTCTCTTGGGGATCTTGAAAGGCCAGCACTCAGACCCCCAAAATTGATGTCTGTTCAAACTTAGGCTCCACAGACAGAACAGCTGGAACACTATCATCTGCCTGAGGCTCAGGGATACAGTATCCCACCACTTCAAGCTCCTTGGTCTGGCTCATTCCTCCCACGGGTGGGGTTTTGCATGACAACAACATCTAGGGCAGTGTGTGCTTCTTGGGGCAGAGGCTGGCAGAGGCCTGGGGTATGTGGTGCCTCTCAATAGGAAAACTGACCTTTGGTGGTACCCTCCTGGATTCCGTACAAGCAGAAGCCCCACCTGGGCTTTATTTCTACAGCCTCCCATCAGCCAGTAGGGACAACTGTCCTAGAGACCCCTGGGCAATGCTGAGCCCCAGAGGCCATTCCCTTGCAGGGACCCTCTGCTCCCACACTTGCTTTCGTCTTGAACAGGTCAAATTCAAGACACACAAAAGACAGTTCAACCCCGTTTTTCAAATTAATAATTCATTGAACTTTCTTTGAAATATAAACACCATCCCCAGAGACAGACATGGTGGGCAGCTAACCCAGCAGAATACTTTCTTAACTTACACTTTGGAAAAGGCAATGCTTTCAAGTTCTGAAACAAAAGGCAGCTGTTTCACATGTACCGCTCATATTGTGCATATTACATGCAATGTTTCTATTGTGTTTTATGCTAGAAAATAAGACTTTACACAGTGTACATATATCTGAACATTTGCAAGAACACATCGAGCCATCTTTTCTACATCGTGGACATCAGGATCTTGCACCTTGCCCATCTCTCACACAACCGTGGATCCTGGTGGACTTTGCATCTTGGTTTTTTTCCTTCTTACTGCTGCATGGCTTTCCATCCTCCAAGCAATACCATAGTCTGCTTAGCAGTTCTCTATGCCTGAACTTTGGTTGTTTCCAAGAACCTTGTATACATAAACCAGCTACAAAATATATTCCCAGAGATGGGGTCTCTCAGGGGCAGTGCACTTGTGATTTTGATAGGTTGTCACCTAGCACAGGTGTGTGAAGAGAAATGTATGAGTGTCTGCCTACCTTCCTAGAACAGTGTGTTACAGACTGGACATGATGGTGGCGACAAATGTGCAGGGTGGGAACATCAACAGGAGAGGCACAGAAGGGGCAATAACACTACAACTAAGTCCTTGAGCCATTCTGAGCTCAAGTCCTCAAACAAAGAAGCTGTCATTTCTCTGGGCCTGGAATTTTCATCTGTGAAACAGAGAAAACAGTAATATCCTGAGTTAGTTCGTTTTTTGTTTCTGTGATGAAATTCCTCAGGGCAGGTGACTTTATAAAGGAGCTCATGGCTCTGGAAGTTCAAATCTGTAGTGCTTGCTCAGCCTTGGCAAAGACTAGTGTGAGCGTGCACACACGTGTGTGGAAGAGAAAAGAACTGAGAGGAGGAGGAAGAGGAAGCAGGAGGAACAGGCACCACCAGACAGGAAGCCAGAGAGAAGCTAATCTTGTGTGTGTGTGTGTGTGTGTGTGTGTGTGTTTGGTTTTTCGAGACAGGGTTTCTCTGTATTGCTTTGGAGCCTGTCCTGGAACTCGCTCTGCAGACCAGGCTGGCCTGTAACTCACAGAGATCTGCCTGCCTCTGCCTCCCAAGTGCTGGGACTAAAGATGTGTACCACCAATGCTAGGTTAATCTTGTGACTTCCTCTCACTCTTAAAGCCTCCGTCCCTTTTAAACAACCACTGACTACCTACCAAACCTGCAACACATAAGCGCTAGGGGCACAAATTTTGGGGTCATTGTGGAAAGTAAATGCGGTAACATATAACAAACTGGCTTCGCACAATGCCTGGTTTGTGATTATGAGAGGCTGGGTCAGCAGTTAGCAGCAGGTGACCTTGTCCAGACAGTCCCTTACCAGAATTCCTGTCACGGGCAGGGAGTTGGGCTAGAGGGTCAGTCAGGCTCCCTTGCCAGCTTTTCTTCTGTTAGTGGCGGAATAGCCTCCACTTACCCTTTCTCTCTTATGCTCTTCAAAGGTATCCAGGAGTCTCCAGTGCCAAATGGCCACTCACTTCCTGGCAGAGACTTCCTCCGGAAGCAGATGCGGGGAGATCTGTTCACACAGCAGCAGTTGGAGGTGCTAGACCGCGTGTTTGAGAGACAACACTACTCGGACATCTTCACCACCACGGAACCCATCAAGCCAGAGCAGGTACGTCCGTGACTCCGGCCCACCGCACCCACTGCCACCCTGCAGGCCTGAGCCATTCCTGGAAGCAGGGGCCTTGGCACACTGAGGGCAAGGGTCTGTGCAGAGTGGGCTTCTGGTTGTTTTTGACCAAGCTTGGCTGGTCACTACATCCCACAAGGCCAGGAGGGTTTGCTTGGCTCTGAGGCTTTTTGACCTGGTAGCTCTGCCTCTGGCCAGTCCCAGAGGCACATAACTCCTCTGGTTACTCTGCCACTAATGGATGCTGTGCTTTCCAAGGGGTGTATGTGATGACCTCCTGGGTCATTTCAGTGGTTTTGCCATCCTGTTAGTTAGGAACACGATCTAAACATGTAGATTTACATGCCTAAGTATATGATATCTCATGACGCTTGACCTATGCTTGGCATCATGGAACTGCTCACAGGTGTAGAAAGCCCAGGCCTGGGGTCAGCCATCAGAAGGCCCTGCTCTGATGGGTAAGTCAGACTCTAACCCTTTCTTTCACGGCTCTCTCTGAGCTGATCCTATGGGAACTTTTACAGACCTTTCAGTCAGTTCTCTTTCCGATAGGGAAATTGAGGCCCATAGAGACAAAGCAACTTGCCTAAGGCTGCCCAGCAAGTATTCAGTTAGCAAATACTGGCGGTTGTCTAGGCACGGGACCAGACACTATGTGCCCATCAGTGAGCAGACAAGCTTGGATTTGCCCCAAACCTATGGATTTGTAGAAGAATCACAGCTTGGTACTGAAGAGAGGTCTAAGGCCCTCTAAGGACCTAAAGCCAGAGACTGGAGGCTACCATGGTAAACAACAATAAAGGATGTGTATGTGGAGGAATGTGTCTGGCAGAATGAATGGCAAGTGCAAAGGCCCTGAGGTGAGCAGGAGTGGAAAGATCCAGTGTGGCTGGGATTCAGGGACAAGGTGGGAGGTGATGCTGGAGAGATGAGTCCATAAGTGGACTGTGGGAGGATGCTGCTCCCTTACAAGTTAAATGATGTCTCCTCTGCAAGTGACATGGCCATGGGCACTGGGCAAAGCTGATCTCATTCTAGAGCCTGGGTTTTGGGGAGAAAAATCTGCTTCCATCACTAAGACAGCTGCCTTCCACTGCTGAGTCTTTCTGATGGTACAAGCCATGTATCATCTGAGCTGTGTGAGCTGTAAATAAGTGACCAAGGGTGAGGGTGTGAGGCTTTCAAGGTTGTATGAATGAAACAGATGCTGAATGTTGTGAATCCCTCTGGTTTCATGGGAATCTTGCAGAAGCTCTGAAGCTGTGTTCCATTTTATCCATTTAAATGCCTGGGAAGATGGGCCCAAGGCCAGACATCCTCACTCACTCAGGAGCTCCCCGGTCCAACACATTTCCTGTGCATGGGCAGTGGGCCCAGTACAGTGCCAGGCTTGGAAGGGACAGAGGCACAAACCAGGTATCATCTCTATCAAATCAATTCTTCCACGGAATGGTGTGATGTGAACTCAGGAACCACAGACATATGAGAAAGCTTGATACATGATGTGGAGTGCTGAAGGGGGTAGGAACATGAGCTCTGATGGTTGCACTGAGGGCAACAATGTTGAGGAGGGAACGTTGCATGGGATCCCCAGGCCAAGGCCATACAGGTTCAGGTGGAGATGAGGCCCAATAGGGAGGAGGCCTGGGCTGTGGGCTCTGGAAAGATGTGTTTCTTCGGTGTCCTTCAGAAGTCTGTGGCCTGGTGCAGGCCTATCTGTGAGTTCAGAGGCAGGTCTAGCAAGGCAAACAGCCGGCAAGATAATGACTGACTCAGTGTTTCCTGGTTGATCTGCTTCACCTCTCTGTGGCATGCTGTAATGAGGAGAGATGGAAGGTGAGGGTGCAAGGCTGCCCTGCACACATGCAGGCACTGGACTATGAATGACATACCCTCATGCCCTGTTCCCAATCACTGTGGACAAATGATGGCTTGAGCCAGGGGCTGCTGTTCCGGAAGGCGTGTGCATCAAGGGTATGAGTTCCTTGAGTCTCCTCCTGCTCACTATCTTCTGACTGACTGTTCTCAGGCCCTGCCTGTGACCCCTGTAACCCCCAGAGTGATGGTAGTGACACAGAGAAGTGGGCCCCTGGGCTGCTGGCAGTGGAGACTGGCCCCAGCCATCTCATTCATTTGCCAGCATGTCAAGCCGCCTGAGATCCTGTGGCTTAGTGGCCTGGCTCAGGGCTTGTTTTACTTTCACTGAACGATCTAATTCGAGAAATGAAGAGCATCTCCTGCCTGAGGAGCTGAGGGCCCTTGTTTTGAGCCCCGCCTCTGCTGTTAACACCTCACTTCTTTCTGGACCCCAGTTTCCTCTATGTGTAATCACAATGGACAATGACAGCAGCTGCATCCAGCTAACAGTAAGAGCAGAGGTTACTTGCCTATTGATGATAGCATTTAGTTTTCCAAGGACTTAATGCAGTCCACATTGGATGGTCCCTCTAAATGGCCTCTAAGCAACTGGTCATACCTGTGAGGGATGTTACATATTTGAACTTTAAAACAGTCTGCATACCCATTTTCAGGCCCAGGATTGTTGAGGCCACAGAGCTAGAGTCTGACCTCAGGCTCTTCTCTGTTTTCATGTTGTACAAGATGGCGGCATGGATCTTTGTGTTTCTGGAGGGTTCTGGGATTAGTCCTTGGACTGGATAGTGTTCTGAATGGCCTTCCTCAGACAGTCTGTGGGCTGTTCCAGGATGTACATGGACCTGGACAGGTCACCCACCCTATTCCTCGGACAAACACCACCAACTTAATGTCAAGGTGGTCCTGAGGACACTGCTGAGTTCTTCCCTGAGTGGGTGGCCAGATCAGACTCTTCCCTTTTCATAGGAAAACTCAGAATCCCCTTTGCCTTGGTGGAAGAGGTTAACGAGACCCACTCTGGGGCGATGAAATGCTTCCTTCTTAGAATGGCTATTGAAAAAGCAATTCTGTTTTCCCTACATGGGGAGTGAGTAAAAATCACCTGAGAGGAACAGAAGGGGTTAGGGGCAGAAACGGCTGGTGTGAGTATGTATGTGTTGTGTGTGTGTGTGTGCATAGATGCACATGTGTGTCCAGCAGTGGAATCTGTTTCAGTAAAACTGCAGTTGATGCTGGCTGTCACCGTGGTGGGCACTGGCTCTGGCAGGGTGGGTCCCCCCTCCGGCCACCGAGAGGACGCAGCCGATTTCAGCCTGCTGTATTTACCCTCAGCAGACTATTAACCAACACTAGGCTATTAATCTGGCTTTTGAGCCTTCACTAAAGCCCATAAAAGCTCACAGTTGTCAAATGGAGTTCATTTTAATTTCCTTTCAATCACAGTAAATTATTCAGGTGATAAATCAGCTGGAGCAGCCTCCTGGCTGTAATAGAAACCCTAATTCCTGGCTAATTATCCAGCCCATTGCTGCCAACAGATCAATACGGGTGCAAAATGGAACGGGCCCAGGGCCCTCCCTCCCATTGGGCCAGAGACAGAGAGACAGCTGGGGAAGGGGACGTGCTACTGACCTCCTGGGAAGTTCAAAGGTCATGGGGGTTAAATCAGGAGATGGCCTGGTCCTTGTCTAACAGAAAGCCACCAGAAGTGCCTCCTGTTGTCCTGAGCAGCGTTGCTCTTCTGTCAGCCAGCAGGTGGACTGGTTTCTAAGTCTGCCCGATCTCATGAGCATCCTCCCCCTGGGAAGGGGCTGGTTTGTTGGCATCACCCAACAAACCCTGATCTTGGTCATCAGGGATGGACTCAGAAGCTACCAGGAACCAGATAAAGGTCTGAGCACTGTGTGTGTGAGGTGTGGTGGGCATGAGGCTCTGGCTTCAGGGGGCTCATTTTCCTCCCTGGTGAATGAATATCCTGTCATGAGGAGGTAGAGGGGGTAAAGGAGGGTGAGCAGGTAGAGGAGAGTGAGGAGGGATAGGGAGACAGGTGTGCCAGGCCAGAAGTGCAGAAAGTTCCTAGAGGAGGTACCCTTGGGATGTCTGGAGAGCTGGGCAGATGTGGGCCTGTGCAGAAGGTAGCACTGGCTGGAGAGGATGCTCTGGACAGTTGGAGCAGCATGGGTAAAAGTCTGCAGGAATGCCAGCATGGAGCAGGAATATTGTGGCAGGAAGTCAGGGACTCTAATCCCAAAAGGATGGAATTTGGAAATGAGGACTTTAGCTGTTGCCTTGGGATCACAAAGAATCTGGGTGCTGCGGCCTGGACCATGCTCCCTCCTAGAAATCAATCCTCACTGGGGCTTCGTGCCTGATCCTGCTGTGGCCATTGGAACTTTCTTCTTGCAGCCCATTCCTCCACAAGAACTGCTTGTGGTTTTCTCCCTAGTTGTCTTTTACAGGACCTTTCACTGTCCTGTGTCCCTTTGCTTGCCCATAAGAAGCTCTTGCTCTGGCTATGCCTCACTGCACTACAAGAGCTGGGCTGATTCTGTGTCAAGAGGGTTGCTAACCATATCTCTCAGGTTGGCATGTGCACATGTATGAATGTGCACATGTGTGGACACCAGGAACAGCTAGTCAAGTGCTTGGTGGCAGGTACCATAATTACTACTTTCTTACGTTGTTCACACTCTAAGCTGCTGATCACCGGTTCCCTGCATGGAGTATCGGCCTATATCTGAATATATATCCCTGTTCCCCTGGTCCAGGCTGAACAAGAGTCCTGCCTACTCCTGTGAGTCACCTATGGCCCCGTAAACTCACGCCCACTGCCTCCTGTTTGGACTCAGACTCACAGAGTGCTAACTCTGACTGTAGTGTCCGGTTGAGGGTGTGCTTACTGTGCACCATGTGCCCTGGCAGATTCAGCAAAGAGCCACCTGATGCATCTTCCTCCCAGGCCACAAGAACCTTGGTCACCTCTCTGAGTAGAAGGACAGCGGAGACCCAGTGAGACTGCTACACCATGACTTAGCTAAGGGAGCACAGCAAGCCCAGAACCAAGACCAGAAGTGAGCACTCATTCCATGGCAGGGAGCTACAAGAGG